ATTATTAAACCCCAATTTACCCCTACACTGCCCCTATTAAACCCCAATTTACCCCTACACTGCCCCTATTAAACCCCAATTTACCCCTACACTGCCCCTCTTAAATCCCAATTTACCTCCACACTCGCACTCTACTGCATTATAAAAATACAATTACTGTTCAACAGTCGGAAAATAGATTAATCTTGAGATAATGTTTTAACAATTAATATTTTATAATTAGGATCTATTCCTAAACATAATCAAACTTACTTTGTATTGTAATTTTACAATAGATGAAAAAAATACTCTAGACCTGCAAACTACTGGGAATGATAAAAACAAATGTTGGAAAAATTTAAAATTTCATTCTTAATTGTTACTAATATTTCCATTACCATACCATATATTACCATTTCGCGGGGCTCATTGCGGCCTTGCACCCCCTCCCTACCCCCCCCCCCCACATCTTGAAGGTTAATATTACTTGAAGCTAGACTTGAAGCCCTCTATCAAGGTTTGCTTGAATACCAGCAAGAACATCGAGCTCTTCCACAAATTGTCAAGTTTTCCAATGAAACGATATTATTTGTGTCCTCGATCAACCAGGTTGTAATTATTTTCCTCGTTACAGACTACCATACAATTATATTTTATAACACAGGGTCATTTTCAAGAGCGTTGACAGAGATCAATCTTAGAGGGGGGGGGGGGGNCGTGTACAGTCCCTAGTGTAGGACGTGTACAGTCCCTAGTGTAGGACGTGTACAGTCCCTAGTGTAGGACGTGTACAGTCCCTAGTGTAGGACGTGTACAGTCCCTAGTGTAGGACGTGTACAGTCCCTAGTGTAGGACGTGTACAGTCCCTAGTGTAGGACGTGTACAGTCCCTAGTGTAGGACGTGTACAACGTGCAGAACAACAAATATCCCCCCTTCTTTTTTTCTGTAAGATTAGTTATTAAGGAAAATGTGCATTAAAATTATCCCAGTTTTTAATCTTTTAAACTTTAATGCTTGCATAACATAATGTTTATTTCTAATTCCGCAAATGTATTTTTGCACATAAAGCTAGACTTAAGTTAAATATTTTAGCTAAATATTGAATTAAGTTAACGAGACCCAATTTAACTTTTCAACATTTAGGTTTAAATAACAATAGTTAAACTTAGTTTCCACTGTTTTCATGTTTTAAACCTTGTTCCTTGTATGGGACACAGTGCAAGGATACTATGTATATATATAAAATATATAATTTATCTATTGACTACAGAGTTTTAACAAGCTCTCTTGTCACTGAACATAAAAGTTCAGGTTTCTCACCCTTTCTAAATAATTCTTACTCTGTAATCGTATCCTGCTAAACAATACCTATAGATGTAAACTGCTCCGAAATCAAAATTGTTCCCAAAACTCTTCCTTTTATCCCTGTTATGGCTACCTAAACCCGTCCTTGTATCCCTGAATATAGTTACCTAAACCCGTCCTTGTATCCCTGATATTTTTTCCTAAATCCGTCCTCGTATCTCTGATATTGTTTCCTAAATCTGTCCTTGTATCCCTGAATATAGTTTCCTAAATCTGTCCTCGTATCCCTGAATATAGTTTCCTAAACCCGTCCTTGTATCCCTGATATAGTTTCCTAAACCCGTCCTTGTATCCCTGATATAGTTTCCTAAACCCGTCCTTGTATCCCTGAATATTGTTTCCTAAACCCGTCCTTGTATCCCTGATATTGTTTCCTAAACCCTTCCTTGTATTCCTGAATATAGTTTCCTAAACCCGTCCTTGTATTCCTGAATATTGTTTCCTAACCCCGTCCTTGTATTCCTGAATAATGTTTCCTAACCCCGTCCTTGTATCCCTGAATAAAGTTTCCTAAACCCGTCCTTGTATCCCTGAATATAGTTCCCTAACCCCGTCCTTGTATTCCTGGTTTAGTTTTCTAAACCCGTCCTTGTATCCCTGAATATTGTTTCCTAAATCCGTCCTTGTATCCCTGAATATAGTTTCCTAAACCCGTCCTTGTATCCCTGATATAGTTACCTAAACCCGTCCTTGTATCCCTGATATAGTTACCTAAACCCGTCCTTGTATCCTTGAATATTGTTTCCTAAACCCGTCCTTATATCCCTGAATATAGTTTACTAAACCCGTCCTTGTATCCCTGAATATAGTTTCCTAATCCCGTCCTTGTATCCCTAAATATTGTTTCCTAAACCCGTCCTTGTATCCCTGAATATTGTTACCTAAACCCGTCCTTGTATCCCTGAATATTGTTTCCTAAACCCGTCCTTGTATCCCTGAATATTGTTTCCTAAACCCGTCCTTGTATCCCTGAATATTGTTTCCTGAAACCCGTCCTTGTATCCCTGAATATAGTTTCCTAAACCCGTCCTTGTATCCCTGAATATAGTTTCCTAAACCCGTCCTTGTATCCCTGAATATTGTTTCCAAACCCCGTCCTTGTATCCCTGAAATTGCTTCAAATCTTCAAAATTGAAAAGTTTCCAGATTTCTGTTTTATAAAGTGTCCTCTGACAGTTAAAATATAGTTTTCAAAATTCATGCATCCATACACTCTATATATATTATATATATTAGTTATTATGTTCGAACTAAGTAGGAAAATTAAACCAGACTCTTTAGTGACGTAATACACGTGTATGTACACTGAATAGTGAATAGTCAAATGGATGATCATTCTTTTTACTCTTTGAACATGTCTAATGTATATTTCTACAGATATTGTAATATGCTATTAATATACTTTATCCTTAGGTTAAGATTTTGTCAATACAGGATGGGGGGGAGGGGGGTTAGTAACAGTATTAGCTTTTAAATGTTGCTTTTTAATCCGCATAATTTTAATACAGAGACATTTTTCTAAGCAACATTTTATTCAAAAACTACCATTTTAATCCTTTCTTAGGGTCATGTGAGTTACCGCAAAAAAGTTGGGCGTCATAAGCTCCGCCTTTTGGACAGCTATTCAATACAAACAAACATTTATATATAGTCAAAGAAATATTAGGTCTTCGCAATTTTCTGATTTCCGCGAGTATTTGCTCAGCCACAATAAAGAATGGGGGCATGATCCCCCCCCCCCCTTGATCTAGATCTTCTGCAGACTCCGAGTACAAGTTTACATTAGATTTGGTCTGAGTGGATTGGTTCGGTTTTCTTTTTGCAATAAGATAAAAATGTTCCCATGAGATTAAAATAAATATTAAGGATTTTATTGCAAACCCTTCTATGTACACTGTACAGGANCCGTGAGAGGGGTAGGAAAACATGTAAAAACTTTAAATATAGAGTTATCCTATACAGTTCTGGTTGTAAAAAATAAAGGGGTATTTTGCCCTCCTTTACTATATAGTTTCAGTAGAAGTAAATATTTCAATTTACTGATAGCGCCGATTGAAGGATTTATAATTCTGATTGGATAATGAGATAGAAAGATAGATGTTACCGCCAAATTATTTCTATTTGTTCAGAATAGACAACAAACTCATGACTGAACCCTGATTGGATCAGGCGCTAATGGACTCGGCGTACAGGAGTGCCTTGTCCAACGCCCCCAATGCAAAGTTTTGTGAGACACCCTGTATATATATAATATATTTTTCCGCTTGTTATCAGCTTATCAGGCATTTTCTAATTAGTATTTTCAATGCATGAATTCTTAATTTGACATTTATAAACTATCCGACTTTAATGATGTTTTTTTCATGCATGCAGATCATTTAAATCTCAGAGCTTAACGAAAAAAGTCGAATTTTTTATTCTTAAAACATCCTATATGAGTGAGTAATTGGATATAAGTTACAAAGTTTGAATTACGAACTGCTTTAAACCTTATATCTAACTAGTATATCTATATCTATACATATCACATATTGTTTCTGTCAAAACGAGTAAAAACAAACTAATAATGATATTCAGGAAGCGTGTACAGTGTTGTTGCTGTTGCTGTTGAACGATATTTCAACATCTGTAAACCGTTTGATAGGAACAGGGTGAGTACAACTTTATTTTTAACCAGCGTTGCCCGGGGTGATCATAGTCACTCCCACCGTTTACCCGCACTTTGTTATAAAATACAATTTTTGCTATTTTTTCTTATAAAAGTTGACCCACTCAACTTAGAATCTCAAATGATTTATAATCGGATATACAAACAAACAGGCATTATTATTTTTAGATAACTCCCCATGACCCCCTAAAATACTCCACCGTGCCCCTCCCCCCCTCCTTCCTCTTGATAGGGATTTGCCATTCTCTGTTGTGCGCAAATGCCCCGCAAAACTCCTAAACAGAGAGATCCAGAAAAATAATTAAATTAGTATTTATTTATGGTTAGGTTAGGTTAAGACACTTTCCGGGCCGAGCGCTGCGGCTAGGACAGACTAAGGGGCCGAGCGCTACGGCGACGTATTAGGTTAAGTTATTACACTTTCTGGGCCGAGCGCTGCAGCTAGGACAGGCTAGGGGGCCGAGCGCTGCGGCCAAATGTCTTACATTTAAGACCCCACCAGCTGCCAGTCTCTACACAGGCATCCCACAGATATTATTTTTCTGGATCTACAAAATTCAATCCCCCTCTCTCCGCCCCGGAACTCAACGGGGTACCCGCGCACAACAGAATATGGCAACTGCCCTCTTGATATACTATTAAACACGACACTTCAGGTCATTAAAAACAGAATTTAAAACTTATAATAAGTGTTGCCTCTATATCTCTTATTTCTTATGAATTTAAAATATTTCGGAGAAAAATTTATTTTCCCAAAAACGCAAATTGATCAATCAAATGGTAAATTTTGCCACAGTAAAAAAGTTAGAAATTCTTGGAAAAAACACTTTCCCATGACGAGTCACATTATAGCGTTTAACCAAGTGACCGGCGTGGCCCAGATTTATATTATTATTTATGGTCTTTATTGTTACTGCATAGTTTTAAATTTGAATTGAGCTGAAATGTCTGACGTTCAAATTTTTCAATTTTTAGCCCATGTCCCCATGGGTTTCCTAAAAAAATTTGACCAATTTGGTCAAGCCTTATGGCCAGCTATATCGAACATAAATACATATCTATATAAATATAAATATAAGCTATTTTAATTAAAGTTTAATTAAAGTTTGAGATTATTTAAATAAACCAATTGTTTTAAAGTAAGGTACCAACTTTAATCAAGAGAACCTAAAAGAAGGCTAGGAAACCAGGAACCCAACACTTGTATTTACAACAGCAAAGGAATTGCAACTCTTTGCCACAAACTCTGACTTTTATCTTTGCAACCTGATGGTGTAAAGCTTTGAAATTTCAAACTTATTTTATCTGATCTAACAGAATTCATAGTGTGAAATATCTAAGGTCTACAAAAATGGGTTGAAAGGATATAGGAATTAGAAAATCTTTATATTATCAATTTGAACAAATAAGATGCTTTGAAGTGTAAAGGAATTGAGTCTTTGCCACAAACTATGAATTCTGTTAGATCAAATAATATAAGTTTGAAATATAAAAGATTTACGACATTGGATTCCAAAGATAAAGGGATTATAAAATCTCAGAGTTTGTGACAAAGACTCAATTCCTTTGGATGCTTTGCAATACAATTCAACTATTGGAAAGCATCAAACATTTTCCTTTCTGATAATATTAAAGCATTAGAACTGTCACTGATACAGGTAAGTCAGCATTGAAAGACAAAGAAATTATTTTCTAAGTCACGACTTTAAGACACATTCTAGGTCACAATTCTAACTCAAACCCATGTCTAAGTCATGGAAAGACATATTCTCAGGTCACAGTTCTATTACATCAAACTTTTGAAACCAAACTATGTCTTAAGACACTATCTATCTTAGTGACAATTCTAAGTCTTAAATAGATACAGTAAGTTTCCTGATATAATATAGTTTCCTGATACAGTAAGTTTCCTGATACTGTAAGTTTCCTGATACTGTAAGTTTCCTGATACAGTAAGTTTACTGATATAATATAGTTTCGTGATACAGTAAGTTTCCTGATACAGTAAGTTTCCTGATATAATATAGTTTCCTGATACTGTAAGTTTCCTGATACAGTAAGTTTCCTGATATAATATAGTTTCCTGAAATAATATAGTTTCCTGATATAATATAGTTTCCTGATATAATATAGTTTCCTGATATAATATAGTTTCCTGATACTGTAAGTTTCCTGATATAATATAGTTTCATGATACTGTAAGTTTCCTGATATAATATAGTTTCCTGATACTGTAAGTTTCCTGATATAATATAGTTTCCTGATATATACAGTTTCCTGATATAATATAGTTTCCTGATATAATATAGTTTCCTGATATAATAGTTTCCTGATATAATTTAGTTTCCTGATATAATATAGTTTCCTGATATAATATAGTTTCCTGATATAGTATAGTTTCCTGATATAATATCGTTTCCTGTTACTGTAAGTTTCCTGATACAGTAAGTTTTCTGATATAATATAGTTTCCTGATACTGTAAGTTTCCTGATACAGTAAGTTTTCTGATACTGTAAGTTTCCTGATACAGTAAGTTTCCTGTTACTGTAAGTTGCCTGATATAATATAGTTTCCTGATATAATATAGTTTCCTGATACTGTAAGTTTCCTGATACTGTAAGTTTCCTGATACTGTAAGTTTCCTGATACAGTAAGTTTTCTGATATAATATAGTTTCCTAATACTGTAAGTTTCCTGATACAGTAAGTTTTCTGATACTGTAAGTTTCCTGATACAATACAGTTTCCTGACACAGTATATTTTCAATATAAATTCTTCATTGAAGCGCCGTGAACCTGGCAACTTTAAAAAGAGTATTTCCAAAAAATACAATGAATTTGCTTTTTTAAACCTAGTCCAGACGATATACTTTTCAATATGGTTGAATCGGATTAAGGGGGTTCTGTGTCCATTGTGAGAAATAATCTTATTACAGGGGACATTATAGTTCCTAATCTACAAAGTTATCTTTATCAAGGGTACGTATGCAAATATCTTTCAATACAAGCAGTGAGTCATGAGTAATGATTCTGTTTTCTCCAGGTAGGGGTTATGGACGGGTTCGGATATATCCTTGGTATTGTAATCTTCTCCTTCTCCTACAACATCATCAAGTTCTTCGAGCTGAAAACTGTTTACAACACATCATACGATAATACAACTAATATCAGGTGACAAGTTTAACAACAAATTCGACCATAAAAGTTGTCAGAAGCAGGTTTGTAATGATCTAGCCCGTCTCTCCTCACTTAATCTTTATGGCTAAACCGCCTCAAACTCTAACTATCAGTCAATCCTGACTGCTGTATGGCTATCTGCCTCAAACTCTAACTGTCAGTCAACCCAGACTGCTGTATGGCTAAACCGCCTCTAACTCTAATAATCAGCCTACCCAGGCTGATTCCGTCCATACTAAACAAGAGTCTGTATACAACTGATTTATTTATAAACATGATTATGTGGGCCGTTATGACCGGCCAGGTAACAAAACTAAAGATAGAATTATAATACAAATATGAATAGCACGGTAAGGTAGATAGATAGAGATACAGCTACTGGAGAATTCATTACAGGTTTATAAACCTTGTTAGTTGTATCCAACTCAGAAACAGGTTTATAATCCTTGTTAGTTGTATCCAACTCAGAAACAGGTTTATAAACCTTGTTAGTTGTATCCAACTCAGAAACAGGTTTATAAACCTTGTTAGTTGTATCCAACTCAGAAATCATATTAGACATTCAATTAGATGCAATTTGGTCATATCTGTTGTTGTTAAAGACTAATACGAAAGGAAAAAAACAATCTGAGCTGAAACTGTAGAATGATGGATATCAAGATTAATGCTTAAATGAGTTAAACTCCTGGTTTTACTAAACCCAAGATTATTTCAAAATGCATTTGATATCCAAGAAAGAAGTTAAAAATTTAACCAATCAGCGTGTCATGTTAAGATGTACTCTTTAACTTTTGAAAAACCGGTATTGATTTCTGGTATTGATGGTGTCATATCGATTGAACTAAACATCGATTGAACGAATGTAAGTTTTGGATTAATGTTATTAAGACTAACGTTCAAAATGACAATAGTTCTAAAATTCTATGAATTTAATTGAATATTAGATATATGAATTGAGTTCACCTAAGATAAAAGGATGTTATTTCTTGCCACCAACTCAATTTTCTTAATCCCTTTATCTTTTCAACGTGGAGGTGTAAACCTTTGATATTCAAGCGTAGATATTTGAATTTACATATTCTATAGTTTCAAATATCAAAGGTCTGACATCAGGTTGCCAAGATATAGGGATTACAAATCAGAGTTTGTGGTTAGTTTACCAAAGCACTAGACCCTCCTAAAGTTGGTGTCCTTTAGAGGAGAAGGAGAAGAAACAAAAAGAAAAGAGAAACTGGATGAAAGTCGAGAAAGTAGATGAAAAAAGGGAAAAGAAGAAGAGAATAAAGAGAAAGTTTATTAAAGGAAAAGTACACATGAACGGAAGAAAAAGAAGAAGAGAGAATTAAGGCAGGAAAGAAAAAGAAGAAAGGAGATTAAAACAGATAATCATGACAGAAAGGGAAAAAACAAAGAAAAGAAAAAATGAGACATCCTCACTCTCGGCTACACCCCTTGGATCAGTACAATTTTGGGTTTCCAGGGGATTTTAACGCCCCATCGGATGTTGAGTCACTACCTGTAAGAACAATAATAAGCCCATCCCCAGACATATTTCTGTATACGCCACTGAAAAATTTTCTTGCTTTTTAACAATTCAGATAATAATGTTTTTATTGTGATTTTGTTGATATAAAAAATAAAGAATGTTCACTAGAGAAATTTGTACATTGCAAATGCATTGAAGGGTAAAATTTAAATATGCTGGATCAGCATAGATTGAGGTCCAAGTATTTAACTAAAATAAAAAGATGTGTGTAATGTAAAATTTACATTAGCATGCAATACTGCTCATTAGGATTAATATTTCATGACATTATTGAAAATATCCAATTATCTCTGAACCCTGAAAAACGAAAATGATTTATCTAAAATCAATCAAGAAGGTTAAATAATGGCTACTGCGAGAACCGGTAAACTCATAACTTGAGTCTAGAAGTCGTCTTTACTATTGATTAGTCTATAACAAGGTTTATTTACTACTAACTAGTCTATAACAAAGTATATTTACTACTAACTAGTCTAAAACAAGGAATATTTACTATTGACTAGTCTATAATAAGGTATATTTACTGTTGACTAATGACTAGTCTTTAACAAGATATGTTTACTATTGACTAGTTTTATAATAAGGTATATTTACTACTGACTAGTCTATAATAAGATATATTTACTATTGACTAGTCTATAACAAGGTATATTTACTATTGACTAGTCTATAACAAGGTATATTTACTCCTGACTAGTCTATAACAAGGTATATTTACTCCTGACTAGTCTATAACAAGGTATATTTACTCCTGACTAGTCTATAACAAAGTATATTTACTCCTGACTAGTCTAAAACAAGGTATATTTACTCCTGACTAGTCTTTAACAAGATTTATTTACTATTGACTAGTCTATAACAAGGTATATTAACTCCTGACTAGTCTTTAACAAGATATATTTACTATTGACTAGTCTATAACAAGGTATATTTACTACTAACTAGTCTATAGTAAGATATATTTACTACTGATTAGTTTATAACAAGGTATATTTACTACTGATTAGTCTATAATAAGATATATTTACTACTGACTAGTCTATAACAAGGTATATTTACTATTGACTAGTCTATAATAAGGTATATTTACTATTGAATAGTCTTTAACAAGATATATTTACTATTGACTAGTCTATAATAAGGTATATTTACTACTGACTAGTCTATAATAAGATATATTTACTATTGAATAGTCTATAACAAAATATATTTACTACTGACTAGTCTATAACAAGATATATTTAATATTGACTAGTCTATAATAAGATATATTTACTATTGACTAGTCTATAAAAAGGTATATTTACTACTGACTAGTCTGTAATAAAATATATTTACTACTGACTAGTCTATAACAAGATATATTTAATATTGACTAGTCTATAATAAGATATATTTACTATTGACTAGTCTATAATAAGGTATACTTACTATTGACTAGTCTATAACAAGGAATATTTACTACTGACTAGCCTTTAACAAGATATATTTACTACTGACTAGTCTATAATAAGATATATTTACTACTGACTAGTCTATAATAAGGTATATTTACTACTGACTAGTCTAAAATAAGATATATTTACTACTGACTAGTCTATATTATATCTATCTATTTATCTATCTATCTATCTATCTGTCTATACTATATCCAGGTAGAAAATATGGTCAGCACATTCCCAACAGACGGGATTTAAACTATGTGTAAATATGAATACATCAGATCTGTCATGTATTTTCATGAATTTTAATGCAATGTTTTTTACAAGTATCAACATTGAAAATAAAATATTAAGAAATGCTCCTCATCTTTTTATGTATTTGATTGTAATCCGATACATTTGGTGCAATCCCAAAGGCTTTGTGGGTGAAATACATTTTACACTGTACAGTGTACTTTGAACACTGTACAATATACTGTTTATTGTACAGTATACTTTGTACACTGTACAATATACTGTTTATTGTACAATATACGGTTTATTGTACAGTATACTTTGTACACTGTACAATATACTGTTTATTGTACAGTATACTTTGTACACTGTACAATGTACTGTTTATTGTACAGTATACTTCGTATACTGTGCAATATATATACTTTTGATAGCTTCAAAGTTATTTAAATTAAAACCATTCAATTTTCAATAACACAACTATAACATATCTTCTGTACAACAGAAGATATGAAGATAACTGATCGTTCTTTATTATTCTTAAATTTTGCTCTGTATTCCTATATACTGATTACTCCGTACTATCATTGATTATTATCCTTGAATTTAGCATTGTATTTCCTTTATAAATATCCTCATTTATTATCTTTGAATTTAGCACTATATTTCCTATATAAATATCCTTGATTATTATCCTTGAATTCAGAACTGTATTTTCTATAAAAATATCCTTATTTATTATCCTTGAATTTAGCACTGTATTTCCTATATAAATATCCTTGATTATCATCCTTGAATTAAGCACTGTATTTCCTATATAAACATCCTTATTTATTATACTTGAATTTAGCACTGTATATCCTATATAAATATCCTTGATTATTATCCTTAAATTAAGCACTATATATCCTTCATAAACATCCTTATTTATTATCCTTGAAATTAGCACTGTATTTCCTATATAAATATCCTTGATTATTATCCTTGAATTAAGCACTGTATATCCTTCATAAACATCCTTATTTATTATCCTTGAAATTAGCACTGTATTTCCTATATAAATATCCTTGATTATTATCCTTGAATTAAGCACTGTATATCCTTCATAAACATCCTTATTTATTATCCTTGAAATTAGCACTGTATTTCCTATATAAGTATCCTTTTTATTATACTTGAATTTAGCACTGTATATATTTTCTTTGTTCATCATATAAGCTCTCCTACAATCTAATTATTTTACCTTGACACAAAAACTAGAGTTTTTAACCATTTTACAACTTTTAAAAGGATACATCTAAAATTAAAGTTTTAATTCAGTTTCTTCTTTTGTGTTTTCCTAAATAAAACCCTGTGAACTATTTATGTCTTAATTGGATTTTACATCGAAAAGAATATTTCATGTTCTTTAGCTCTAATATATCTCTACTCATAATATGTTTTAAATAAGTTTATTATTTCAGTACGACCCAACCGAATGTCGAGCTGACCAGCCTACGGAAAAATCCTGTTTATGTGAACACGTATATTGTCTGCAACACAATTATTATGGGTAAGATTATACTTTGAACACGCACCCCTGACCCATTAGTAAAAGTAAATTCAACCTAAAGTCTGACCGCGTCAACCTTGCACCGGCTAGTCCTATTAAGTGTCTGATTTCTTTCCCAATGTCCGGGCGATACAGTACAAACTGGGACCAGAAAGGTTGACCCGGCTCTGAAATTCAAATGTACTATAACAGCTGCCCGTGTGAAGAACTACGAGTTATTCAAACCATTCTTTAGCTCAGAGCCAACTGTAGATATATTATAATATTACTTAATACTTTTCAAATTCATTAGAAAAAAAAACAATAAACGTTAAAAAAAACATTGTTGATTTAAAGCGACCTTTTTAAAGAAAACATTTTTTATTTACATCACTTCTTTCCTTTAACGAGACCAGGAACGTAATTTTCAGTGAATAGCTTTATTTTACATTTGTTCAAAACGTTGCACTTTTAACCTTCAAGAATGACGGAGGTATTCTTGTAATCAAAACTTTATTTTACGTCGCATGGTTGCCGAAGGCTCTGAATTTTTAGCTAGACAAATATGAATACCTCCGTCCTCGGTGATTTGGAAATGGTTTGAAGAGTATCCTCCTGGAAAAAAACATACTTCTGTTTGAAAATTACTTCTCCAGCCCCTGGAAGTATTTTACATAGATCCCTGTCCGACTTCAGTATCTAGCTAGTTTATATGTTTGATGCTTTATTAACCAACATTCAAAACTTCCTTTTTTTACCAAAACAATATTTCTACATATTTATGACCGGGATAAAGTGTATATGCAAATATACAAATACTAGGCTTTAAGGGTGCTTCGCGCCCATTTTCTATTTAAATTGTGAACATGTTCTTTTTGTTTAAATTTTAAAACAATGAAGAAAAAATTTCGCGGATTTAAAAAAAAAAATCGCGGATTTTCAAGAATTTAAATTTTTTTACAAAATTAAAAACCTTTAAAACACATTTTTTTTTATCATTCGTAAACCTTCCCTGTGGTCACGTGATGTCCCACAAAAAATTTGGGCCCGATCGGTTCAGCCGTTTTGACGTTTATTGGATACAAACAAACAAACAAACGCACAAAAAACAGACAGACAAGCCAAATTTATATATAGATATGTATATTCAATAGATTTGTCTCAGGTCTGCCAGAGAATGTTCTTTTCTCTTCTATAGTTGTTTTTCTGTCATACCCATACAATGTATACGTATATAGAATTCCTATACATATATCTATATACATATTAATAATCGTCAAGAAACCTCATAAAACAAAGCTCTTCGTTCATATACATATTTGTATGTATATATATTTATATGTCAGCTATATCTGGCCAAATGGGCAATGGCCTTTTCGAATGGGCTGAATTTTTTTCAGGGAACCCTTGACTAAACATAGGCTAAAATTGTTTTTTCAAAAATTAGATTTTTAAAAAATTCCACGGGCAACGCCGTGCACTTCAGCTAGTATCTCATATAACTAGTGAGATGTAATTTTCACCAATTTAATAGAATGGACAAGTCGTCTTAAAGGGAGTTACCGGCAATGTATGGGTCTGGGTCTGTGTCTCATTTTCAATGGAGTATTTAAAGTCATAACTTGAGTCTAATAGTCGTCTTTCTGTTCCAGAGTTTTATGGTGCTCACTGTAGGAAAAATATGTTTAATTCTAACAATTTCCTCCATTGTTTCTGTAAAGCAGAAATCCCAAAGCGTCTTATACAGAGAAACCACAATTTAAAACAAGCTAGTTTTAATTTTAAAAATATGGATATCTTATTCTTTTTGATCATAAAAAGCTTTTTATGGTATTGATGCGATTTGGACGATTTGGACTTTACATTATGTATGCATCCCCCTTGGATGTGGCAAGCATGCTCAGTTTTTTCTTCTTAATATTTCAATAAAATTAATATAAATTGTATCTTTGAAGATCTAAAGAATTTTTAAGGATTTTCAGGAATGTAATAAACAAAAAATTTTAAGAATTCAATTGGGAAGTAAAAAATAAAAAATATCATTTCAGGTGAATTTCTTTTTCAAGTAATATTGCAATTGAAAGGATTGTTAGGATTGTTATCCTATTGAAAAGCCCTACGTTTTTTGTCGTCTTCCTGAAGTAAAAATGCTCTGGTACTCTTTGTTTGGAAGTATCCTACTTTCCAAGCTTGCTGGTAGATCTGGTTTGACCGGCCTAATGTGCCGGTCTCAGGGTTTACCTTTATGACCTTCACCTTGAGACAAAGCTAGACTACTTGTTTGTAAAGTAAGCCAGGTATTTTGTCTCAGGGTACGTATGAACCTCTAGAAGCCATCCTGGGCTGGTCAATTGGGTTGACCGGCCCTGTTGGCAGCTCCCTTGAGGACCCAGAGAGAAGAGAGGGTGTTAAACCCTCTTCTGAATGATATTTGTTTTTTATTCGTTGGTGATCTACGAAAAGTATTTTTTTAAATGCGCGCAAAGTTCAATATAAAACCGGTTTATGATGATTAATGGACAGGACTGTTCATTTTTCTGACTTATATATAGTGTTCTTAGTGTACTTTGTACTCCTGGTTGATCTTTAGTGAGATTAATAACCTTTATCATAACGTTAACACGTATATATACTTCATCATTATTATAGAAATAATAAATATTATTATATTGCAATCTGTTTGTTTGAGATATCTTTGAAGTTTTTATTGATATACTAGGCTTGACACAAAAATCTCGATTTTTTCTGGTTGTAATTTTTAATTTTGACGGTCCAGAAACCTTTCCTTGGGCCCAATTGGTTTAGCCGTTTTGACTTTTATTGAATAAAGACAGACAAGCAAAGTTTAAAAATATTTATTTTATATCTAGGTGTATTCCCCCTATTCCTACTGTGGCTGCTGAACTGGAGAATTATTGCTGCCATGCAGCTCGCAACAAGGAGACATAATAATATTTCATCATTGCAGAGGTATTTTACACTTTAAACTTTACACCTTGTACACCTTACACCTTACACCGTACACCATACACCCAGGGGCGTACGAGGGCTTTTATTTAGGGGGGTGCACAATTTAGAAATTCTTGGAAAAAACACTTTCCCATGACGAGTCACATTATAACGTTTAACCAGGTGACCGACGTGGTCCAGGTTTATATTATTATTCATGGTCTTTATTGTTATTGCATAGTTTTAAATTTGAATTGAGCTGAAATGTCTGACGTTCAAATTTTTCAATTTTCAGCCCATGTCCCCATGGGTTTCCAAAACAATTTTACCAATTTGGTCTAGCCTTATGGCCAGCGTTATCGAAAATATACATATTTCTATATAAATACTAGCTGAAGGGTCCGGCGTTAAATGTTGAAAAAAAATTGTTCAGCCTATAACACCCCCTGGCCACCCATGAGTGTCCACAAAAAATTTCAGCCCAATCGGTCATGCTGTTTGACCGGCTATACGCAACATATATACGAATGTCTTGTTTTATTATATAGATAAATATTAGTTATTTTAATTAAAGTTTGAGATTGTTTAAATAAACCAATTGTTTTAAAGTAAGGTACCAACTTTAATCAAGAGAACCTAAAAGAAGGCATTTAAATGAATTCTAAAGTTTTTTTCTAAACAATAATGCATTTCCAGCTCAACTACCATGTTTAGTCGAGAGAAAAGGGTATTGG